CCAGGGGGCGGGGATCCGGGCGGTGGGGGGCTGTTTCGAGGCTGCAGCCCCCTTCTCACCCACGGCCCGGGCCCTGCTACCTCAGGGGGAGTGACCACGGTGAGGACCCGGGGTGACAGGCACAGGACCAGGGGTGATTTGCTGGGCTCCAGAGACCGGAGAGGAGGGGGACATCGGAGGGAAGCTGGGGGCAGATGATGGATGAGGAGGGAACTGGGCACCTCTTAGAGGGAACTGCCCCTCTCCTGACCTCTCCACCCCTTTCACACCCCTAGCTGCCTGTGGAAGAGCCAATTGTGTCCACAGATGAGGTCATCTTCCCACTCACTGTTTCACTGGATAGACTGCCCCCCGGGACACCTAAGGCCAAGGTAAGATTGGCAAGGGGTGAAGCTGTTCTCCTCCTTCAGAGGTCCTCTCTAAGGCGGGCTGGCTACCTCTCCTCTTGACTGTGGCCCTGTGTCCCTTTTGCTCAGATTGTAGTGACTGTGTGGAAGCGGGAGGTTGAGGCACCAGAGGTCAGAGATCAAGGCTACCTGCGCTTGCTGCAGACCCGATTTCCTGGGGAGACCTTCCGGGGAGAGCAGAGTGCTTTCAAGGCCCAAGGTGGGGAGAACGCAGGGAGAAAATGCCGGAGCGGCATTAAGAGAAATGTTAGAACTGTGGGTTGGAGGTGAGGTCTGTGCCCAGGCCCAGCCCATCAATTCTTGCTCTTGCCCCTGCCCTCTCCGCAGTGAGTACCCTGCTGACTCTGCTGCCCCCTCCAGTTCTGAAATGCCGGCAGTTCACTGTGGCTGGAAAACACTTGACTGTTCTCAAGGGTGAGCTGATTGGTGGCCAAGGTCTTGGGTAGCAGCAAGGGCAATGACAGGGTGGCAGTTACCCTGTGCAGACTGCGGGGAAAGGTTCATTTTGGGGGATAAAGGTGGGATCTGAGGGGTCCAGATAATCACTGCACTGGTTACCTTCGACAGTGCTGAACAGCTCTTCCCAAGAGGAAATTTCCATCTGGGATATTCGTATTCTCCCAAACTTCAATGCCAGTTATCTACCTGTCATGCCCGATGGCTCTGTGCTGCTGGTGGACAATGTCTGGTGAGGTCCTGGGAAGGGGCAGGGCTGCAAAGTGGTGGGGCTGGGGGCAGGGCTGAGAGCTCTGGTCTGGAAAGACCCAGCTCTGTCCCCTTTCTTCTGAACTAGTCACCAATCCGGGGAGGTCTCCATGGGCTCCTTCTGTCGGCTTCCTGGTACCTCTGGCTGCTTCCCCTGCCCGCTCAGTGCCCTAGAGGAACACAACTTCCTATTTCAGCTGCGAGTGGGTGAGCAGCCACCTCCAGGGGCCAAGGAGGTGAGTATAAGGGGCTGGTGATTTCAAGGAAACAGGTTAAGAAAAAGCAGTGAGCCCTGACCGGTTTGGCTCAGCGGATGGAGCATCAGCCTGCGGACTGAAGGGTCCCAGGCTCGATTCCGGTCAAGGGCATGTACCTGGGTTTCGGGCGCATCCCCAGTGTGGGGTGTGCAGGAGGCAACTGAATCGATGTTTCTCTCTCATTGATGTTTCTGGCTCTGTATCCCTCTCCCTTCCTCTCTGTGAAAAATCAATAAAATATATTTAAAAAAAGAAAAAGAAAAAGCAGTGGGCCCTAGCTGGTTTAGCTTGGTGGACTGACGGGTCCTGAGTTCGATTCCGGGCAAGGGCACATACTTGGTTTGCAGGCTCAATCCCTGGCCCTGGTCAGGGCTCATGTGGGAAACAACTCACATCGATGTTTCTCTCTCTCTTTCCCCCTCCCTTCCAGTCTCTCTAAAATTAATGGAAAAATATCCTCGGGTGAGGATTAACAAAAAAATGAAAAAGCAGTGGGAGGGAAAGGCTAGGGTGTTACCTGAAGATGAGAGGGGATCTCTGTTACCCATGATGATTCCCTCTGCTCCTCCCACAGGGCCTAGAAGTCCCTTTGATTGCTGTGGTTCAGTGGTCCACCCCAAAGCTGCCCTTCACCCAGAGCATCTACACCCACTACCGGTGAGTGTGTGGGAACCTTTGGTGGGACCACCCTGTTCACCTTTGTTTCAAAACACATACATCCTGCTTTCCTCTCTCCCTGCTTCTAGCCTGCCCAGCATTCGCCTGGACCGCCCGTGCTTTGTGATGACTGCTTCTTGTGAGTCCCCAGTTCGGACCTATGAGCGTTTCACGGTGACTTACACGTTGCTCAACAATCTCCAAGACTTCCTTGCTGTGAGGCTCGTGTGGACTCCGGAGCACGCACAGGCTGGTAGGGTGCCGCCAGGCTGGGCCTTTCTTTGTCCCGAAGGAGGGGAGGGGAAAGGAAGAAGTCATAGAGGGGGGTGACATGTGGCAGGCTGCTTTGGCTCGTGTCACAGACAGAAAATTGAGAGAGGCAGCAAGGCAGGATGATTTAAGAGCACTGGCACCGATGATAGCTCCCTGTTATGTTTGATTTCTACCTCTGTCATTTACAAGCTGTGTGACCCTGGGTGGTTACTTACCCTCTCTGAACCTCAACTCCCTCATCCCTAAAAAGGAGAAAATAATACTGCTCTTCCCCCCTCTCCCACCATGAGGATGTTATGGTGATTTAACGAGTTAATGAATATGAAGTGGTTAGCATAGACCTCAGCACACAATAAATATCAGCTGTTATTTATAACATCTGGCAAAAGATATACTCAGTTTACTCCACAGGGTGACTTTGAAGATCAATCAAGACGGTGCTCATGGAAGCCCCTTGCTGAGGAACACTATACAGATGTTTACTGGTCGCTGTTTCTGCCCCCCCAGGAAAGCAGCTGTGTGAGGAGGACCGGCGGGCCATGCAGGCTGCCCTAGACTCCATTGTCTGCCACACGCCCCTCAACAACCTTGGCTTTTCCCGGAAGGGCAGTGCACTCACCTTCAGTGTAGCCTTCCAGGCTCTAAGGACAGGGCTCTTTGAGGTGGGTTGGGGAGGTGCCCACTGGAGAGGGGGTGGACGGTGTGGTGGGTGACGCAGAATGTTGGGATAGGAGGCATCAGGGCTGCTAGCTGCTGGAGAGGAAATACAATGGATGGCACTGAAGCCAGGCTAAAGGGAGGTGGAATTTAGATCCTATATTGGTCTGCCAAGGGGAAAGGTGATTTGAAAGGAGGTCTGGGGCCTGGAAGCCAAGTGGGAATGCTGATCTGTGTCTTTCCACCCCAGCTGAGCCAGCACATGAAACTGAAGTTACAATTCACTGCTAGTGTATCCCACCCTCCACCCGAGGCCCGGCCCCTCTCTCGAAAGAGCAGTCCCAGCAGCCCAGCTGTCCGGGACTTGGTGGAGAGGCACCAGGCTAGCCTGGGCCGCTCTCAGTCCTTCTCCCACCAACAGCCTTCCCGCAGCCACCTCATGAGGTATGGAACCGAGGGAGGGGAGCCACTGGACTCAGTAGAGGCTGGCATTGGAGCAGGAGCAGGAAGCGGTCCTGAGGTCTAACTAGAGCCCACGTTCTCTACCTTCCTCCAGGTCCGGCAGTGTGATGGAGCGCAGGGCCATCACACCCCCTGTGGCCTCCCTAGTTGGCTGCTCCCTCTACCTGCCCCCAGAAAAGGCTGTGCTCTCTCTGGACAAGATTGCCAAGCGCGAGTGCAAAGTCCTGGTGGTGGAGCCTGTAAAGTAGCACTTTGGCGGCTCTTATACTCCCAGAAATCGAATGCCTCTGGAGGGTGTCCTTGTTCCAGACTGTGCCTCCTTAGGGATGCCTCCCACTGCGGGTGAGGAGGCCGCAGCCTGTCTGTGTCTGCTGAGGGAAAAGCTGTGAAATGGGCGGGGGCGGTAGGCTGCAGCACTAAACCAACAGTATTTCCCTGACTCCCTGGGAGGGCTGGTCCCACCCCTTTGTCAGGGCAAGAGCTCCCTTGTTTCCCCGCCTTGCTCCCTGGTTCTACGTTTACAAAGTGTTTTCTCATTCCTATTAAGTTGTCCTTCCTGCCTCTGAAATCCCCTCTCCCGCCTCCTGAGGGCTGAGATTAGAGGGTGGTGATGGTAGAGGGACCCAGACAATGACCGTCCTGTCAGAGGTGAGGGGAGATAGCTAGGTGGCCTCCTCCTGCCCCTCATGTTTACGTTGGCAGCCTGAAGCACTTTAAGTTGTGTGGGTTTTGTTTTTGTTTTTTGTCTGTCCCTGTAACTTATTCTCCAACTACTGCTTCCAACTGAAATAAGTCTATTAAATGCCTGTTCAGGAGGGAGAATGACTGTTGTTTGTGTGTTGGTGGAAGGAGCAGAGACCAGAGCTCAGAATGATTCCCTTCAGCATGCATACCAAATAGCTCCTGTCTGCTCCCTTCCCCCCTTTTTTTCTTTTGATTCTCAGTTTGACATGCTCAGAGATAGCCTAGCTCCACCAGTTTGGGCTGAATTACATGACTTTCCTCTTAAAAGGCAGAAGACATGGGTGTAGCACCTCCCAACCCCCATACACACATCCCTGGGCCTGGGAACATCAGACATGTTTATTAGGAGAGAGGGAGGCCCCCTTGTCCTCCCTCTTCTTAACACAGCACAGTCACCAAGCCTCTGCCCTTTCAGGTCATGGGGTGTGGGGGAGAGGTGAGCAGAAAGCCTTAGGTCTGGCATCAGGCCGAGAAAGAGGAGGGTGCATCTTCCTCATCACAGAGGTTCACGGACCCAAGCCACCTCTTCCCTCACCCTTGGCAGGCTCAGACGTCAATGGGCTCCCGGCCTCGGTTCTGCCTCTTCACCACAAACACCCTCTGTCCTGACACGGTCACCAGCAGCGTGTGTTCTCCAAAGACCACTGGAGGGGAGACACACCTTCCCAAACCCCGGGAGAGGGAAGGGAACACAGAATTAGTGGGGTGTAATGGCCTCCACGGGGTCAGACACAAACTGGCTGGAATCAAGAGCCAAAGAAATGAGACGGTTTGACGCTCAGAGATCTGAAGATGGGACGTCTGCATTCAATGCCCTTCTCTTACTTTCTCATACTTCTGGTGCAGGGGTGAATCCCAAAGAGGAGAAAGTGGCCAGAACCAGGGACCCCAGGGGGAGATGGTGGGAGGTTGATAGGAGACCAGTGCTTTTTCCCTGAGGACAGCACCCCACCTCTGGGAGCACCCTACTTCCTATCACCACCAGTAGGGGCAGGGGATGGGGCTCACCCGACAGGCGCTTGAAGGGTACGTTCATGCCGTGGTGCAGCCGGAAACCGCAGGCTGTGCTGACCAGCTCAGAGATGGCGCTGGCTGCCTGCTCATCGTTCTCTAGATCCCCAGATGACTGCATGCAGACGGGGAGGGAGGGTGGCAGAAATTAGGGAACAGAATTGGGAAAGAATTTCAGGAATCACTTTGGCTCTGGCATTGGTACCCTCTTCCTCTCCATTTCCTAGTACCCTCGAGGTCAGCCGTGTTGGAAACAAACCTAAAACTTTCCTATGATGTTGTTGCCCTTCTAGATGTCATACTGGTTCTCATGCTTATACTGGGCTTCCCCCGGGAAGCTGTCACTCATCCATTTCTTTACTGACCATTCTTTTCGAATCCCTTGAAACTTGATTTCTCTCCCTGTTGCCATTTATTTGCTAAAACCACATTCTCAAACACCACTGACTTTCAAGGCTCTATCTTTTCCTGGCTTCCCACTTGTTGCCTTGTCTGCAGAATCTGAAACAAATATCCCTTTTGTCTTTACACCCCCCCCCCCCCCCCCCATTACATTGCCCTTGGGTAATCACATCACAGTGGCCTGGGCTTCCTCTTTTCGGGTGACTGTCACAACTTCTCTCTACCTCCTGAGATGAGCCTCCCACTAGGTTAAGTTCAGTTCAGTGCCCTTTGCTCTCTTGGACACTCTGTACCTCAGTTTCCTTATCTGTAAATTAGAGACAACAGCATCTATCATATGGGCTCTTGAGGGTTATGTGAGGTAATATTGGTGAGGTGCTTAAAACAGCTCTTAGCAATACATATTAACTGCTGTTGTTTTATGTCAAACTTGATGTCTAAAGTTAAGCCATCAAAATTCCCCTTACCGCTCCCATTCCCCAGTAAACTTCCTTTAGTAATTTCCTGTTAAAGGAACCATCATTGTTAGCTTGAGTTCAAAGTCGTACTGAATGGAGAAGTATCTCCTCTATTACCTATCTCTAGTCATTATGAAGATATATTGATTCTTCCTTTAAATTCTCTTCTCTCCTTGCTCCTTCTCAGTGCACCAGTCCATACTCATACACAGATTTCCTTCTGCAATAGCCTTCCTGCTTCTGGATTCCTCCCCTTCCAGCCCACCTTCACACATAGAACAGTCTTGCTCAACTATTTTATCAGCTCATGTTTCTGTTAAAAAAACCCTTCAAAGCTCCTATTGCCCCAGTCTTGAAAGGCCTCCACAATCAGATCTTTTCTTACACATCCTTTTCTTACCCCAAACCTTTCCAAACTTTTCAACATAAACCCACTATCAAAACAGGCATCACTCCTGCAAATATATCCATCTCAGCCCTCTCCTTTTCTGCCTGTTCACACCATTCTTCCTTTAAGCCCAGCTGAATTTTTTGTCCTTCAAGGATTCCTTGTCACAACACAAGTTATAACCTTAAGGGTTGAATCCTTCATTTTCTGAACTCTTTCAGTTGTCTTGACCACTGGCATTGCTTTAAACTTTTGACCTTAAGCCTGTCTCTCTAGCTAGGTTGAAAACTTCTAGCGAGCTAACACTACATTGTACTATGGAACAAAATACAAAGCCTCGTCAATAAATACTTGGGTAATACAAGTTATCAGCAGACCTGTAACTGGTTGTCTGACTTCGGTAAAGTTAGTAAACCCTTTTACCTCAGAATAATTACCATACTGAGATTCAGAGATTTAATTATTAAAAACTTACTATACCAATTATGACCAAGAATAGCGGGAAATTAGTCTCAACTGGACAATGTTATAAGGAATCACCGGGCCATGTGTACTTGGGGGGACTCCC